AGAGAGAGAGAGAGAACACACTCACACTGGGGAAGGCAGTGTGAACAGCTTGCAGGAGGAGGGTCGGGGGGAGGCAACCTCCAGCTGACCACAGCCCCCACCTTCCTCCATCCAGGATTCCCTGGGCGGGAACAGCCGCACAGTGATGATCGCCCACATCAGTCCAGCGAGCAGCGCCTTCGAGGAGTCCCGCAACACCCTGACCTATGCTGGCCGGGCCAAGAACATTAAGACCAGGGTGAGGGCCCCTGGACGGTCCACCCAGGGCACATCTTCCTGGGCCAAATTTGAGCCCTGGGGCTGACCCCTGCCACCCACCACACCCTCTCTGGAACCAGCCACCACTGCACTCGTCTCACTCCCCTGTCGAATGTTACCCCGTGCCCTCTCCCTGCACCTCCAAAATCTACTTGTCTGCAGGAAGCCCATGGCTCCCAAGGGTCCCCTTCTTCTTGTTCTGGGTGTGTGCTCCCCCGGCCTCAGCCCTTCTGACTTCCCTTCTTTACATGCTTGTTCAGACTTCACGTTTTCAAAGCACCTAGTCATTATAGTCATGGGAGGCAACCTATGCTGAGCTCTTACCCCAAGTCCTTTAACATAAGGCTCACTTGATCCTCAAAAGCAGGCGGGTGTTATTGCTTTCCCAGTATACGGTTTAGGACAAAGAGGTGTGCTGAGCTCTTACCCCAAGTCCTTTAACATAAGGCTCACTTGATCCTCAAAAGCAGGCGGGTGGTATTGCTCTCCCAGTATACGGTTTAGGACAAAGAGGTGTGAGGACGTTAAGTGACTTCCCAGCTGGTTAGTGAGGGTTCTGAGGCACAAACTGGAACTGGGCCGCCCAGTTTCCAAGGCCATGTCCTCGGCTCTCTGGTGAACATGTCGGAACTCCTGCCATCTAGCGAGAAGCCTCTTTCAACCTCTTTGCATGTGGAGGGGTGGGAACGGATAAATGCACGACGGGTGCAGGGAACATTCCTCCAGCACCTACAACTTGCCGGCCACTGTCCCGAGTGCTTCACGTTGTATTCCAGCCCTCCAGAAACTTAATGGGGGAGAGGAGACGTGTTCTTGAAATAGTTCATTGATAGTTCTGAATATTATTAATAGCAGGTAAATGCTGCCAGCTGTAGGTGCCAAGGCAAGTCGGAGAATGGGGAGGAGGAGGTGGGCTGGTGGGATCCAGTGGAGCTCTTTGGAGCCTGTGAGGGGACCCTGAAGGATCTGAGGAGGACATTCCATAAGGGTGGGATTGGGAAGGGCAGAGGTTCCAAAGACAGGAAGGAGATGGTGTCTGCGGCGAGCGTGGGGAGAGCAGGATAGTTCCTCAGTTACAGCAGAATGTTCCCGTGGGAACAGTGAATCAAACGAAAATCGAAGAGAGAGTGGTGGGTCTTCAACACCAGGGGAAGGAATCAGGCCACCCCCCTAAGCAGCAGGGAGCCAGTGATGGTTGATGAGCAGGAGAAGCAGGAGTTTGGGAGCATGGATCTAGCAGAGGCAGGCAGCTGTGATAGGAGGCTGTGAGTCTGGAAGCAAGGAGGCCATCGCTGTCATCCAGAAAGACTGGGAGAGGCAGGGGAGAGAAAGAGAAAGACCGCACAGGCAGGCCTTGGTGAGTGCATGGAGGCAAGGACCGGCACCCGAGGTGACTGCCACCCCTCTGTCCCCATCCCGTGCTCCCTGAAGGTGAAGCAGAATCTGCTCAGCGTCTCCTACCACATCGCCCAGTACACCAGCATCATCGCTGACCTGCGGGGCGAGATCCAGCGGCTCAAGTGCAAGATTGATGAGCAGGCTGGGCGGGGCCAGGCCCGGGGCCGCCTGGAGCGGGGTGACATTCGCCACATCCAAGGTGTGTGCGCGGGTCTGCAGCAGTGGGAGCCGTGTCCGGCAGCCCTCCTCTCCAGGCTGCGTCACGTTGCTCTGGGGTCAGGCAGTGCTGGGTTCAAATCCAGCCTCAGGTTCTTTCTGGCGGGATAGCCCTGGGCTAGTCGCTCAACTGCTGTGAGCCTTCCAGTCTTCTGCTGTAAAATGGGAGGGCGAGCTCTGCTTCAGAGTTGATACAAAGGTTAGGTGGAATCACACGAAGGAGAGACACGTAGCATTTAGCTGTGCAGGATGTCACACTGGGGGCTGTAGTGTAGGGCTGAATCCATGCCCGGCAGCACCAAAAGGGCCACCATTCCTCGGTAGACTTGCGTATTTGCTAGGACGGTTTTCTGACAGATGGCGGTAAAGTATCTGGGTGCGCCTTTCTATGGCTGACAGAAAAGTGCTGTAAGGGCTAGGGGAAGCCCAGTTACAGAGGAGCTGGGAATCACCTGTGGGCCAGAGCCTGAAGACCCGATGTGGGCGTGGGAGGAGGTAGTAATCTCGGAGGTCTTTCTGGAGGAAGTGGCTGGACAGGAGGTGGGAGTGTGGTTTGGGAAGAGAGGGCAGAGAGGGCCCCGGGTGGGCTCAGACTTTCCTGGCCTGAACCTGCCCCCTCCACTGACCTCTCCCACCCCGATCCACTGGGCAGCCGAGGTCCAACTGCACAGTGGGCAGGGCGAGCAGGCCGAGATGCGACAACTGCGGGAGCAGCTCATCAGTGCTTTCCAGGAGCAGATGGACGTGCGGAGACGCCTGCTGGAACTGGAGAACCGCGCCATGGAGGTCCAGATCGACACCTCCCGCCACCTGCTCACCATTGCCGGGTAAGCACCCCTTTCCCTAGGACCTTCCAGGTCTCACCCCTGGGACAGATGAGTGGGGAGCTGGACGTGCACACCGTACCCTGCCCCCGTGGCCTGAATCCCATGTCTCCTGGCGGGTGGGGCCGTGCAGCTGGGAGCACGAGAAGTCGCGCCGGGCCCTCAAATGGCGGGAGGAGCAGCGGAAGGAGTCCTACACCAAGGATGACAGCGAGAAGGACTCAGACACAGGCGATGACCAGCCAGACATGCTGGAGCCGCCCGAGGTGGCCTCAGCCCGGGAGAGCATTGCAGCCTTGGCGGGCGAGCAGAAGAAGCTGCACAAGCAGAAGGTGTCCAGGGTTTGGGGGGCAGCGGGAGGAGTGAGACCTGGGAGCTCGGGCTACACATGCTGTGTGACCTTGCTAAGTTCCTTAACCTCTCTGTGCCTCATATGCCTCATCTGTAAAATGGGAGCAGTCATGCTGCAGCCCTCATGGGGTCGTTGGGAAGATTAAATAAATGCCTGGCACGTACCATGGACTGGAAACATGGTAGCTAATATTATAAGTAGGGTTTTCCGGATAGCAAATCTCTGCCTTCTGTTCTGATACCCAACCAGGGGGGCTTCAGGGTATCATGA